ATTAGTTCCACTCAAAGCTTCAATACCAGACAAGTAACTATTAATTGCAGTAGGATTCAATGCTGCAAACGCATAATATCCATTACATAATATAATCAAGAAAACTACTTTTCACATCTCATAAAAATAACACCACAAGTTAAATATATCTAACTATAAAACATAATTAGTTAAATACGAAATCAAGTTATCATTCCGCTGGACCGAATAACATTACATTTTAACAGTTCATAAAAATAAATGAGATGACTAATGAAAATAAACAACATAAAATAAAATAATCATTAAGACCGTAACGAGTTTATCACCGTTGGGCAGAAAAACTCAATGTCTCTTATTTTATTTTAAAGCACGTGAGAAGTTTATCACCGTTGGGCAGAAAAACTTATTGCTATATTTATTATACTAATCATCTTGGTTGTTCAAACATACATAGTGTTGAACCTCCGTTGGGCTGATCAACAATATTTCAACTCATAAGGTGTGCAACAAAACATTATAAGTGCATAAAACATTATCTTAATTACCACTTGTTCAATAATTTTCAAATTTTATTTTAATATCAATAGAATAAAAGATTGGCCAAAAATAAAAATAAAATTGGACAAGTGTAAATCAAGGTTTTGCACTTGTTACACAAAGCATCATTATAAAATGAAATTCATACTTATTCGTTTCATGCATCAGAATTGAGAACCATGTTCTGATACCAATTGATAGAAAACTTTGCGGAACATAAACTAAAAACCATTAAGGATCCAATTCTATACATGAAAACTATATGAATTTCTACTGCACAAAATAAGTAAATACATACCTTGATCCATGATAGTAAGAAATCCTCTTGTAAGAAAGAGAAACCTTGAATGGAAGACCTTGATCTTTACATTCTTTACTTGTCTAAGATCTTCAAACCACTTCTCTCTCTCTCTAGGCGATGGGAGCCTCCTTGTGATGACAACTTGAGTTTTTGATGGAGAGTGTGGTTTGAGACCTTACACTATTTATACTAGTATTCTTCCCATCAAAGAATCCATTCATTCAATAAATTTCACTAAATAAATTAATGTATCTAATACATTCATGATACATAATGCATCTTCTATATTAATGAATTCATTAGATAGATTAATGTATCTTATATATTCATAATAGATACATAATGCATTTTTAAGATTCATTCATAATGAATCTATCACATTCAATGTATTATCATTAGTCTTCTATACATTATGTATATATAGGTGCATTCATCTATAATTAGTCACCATCTAATTGATGTACATGTATCTTACTTAATGAGATGAATCTAGTATAATCATGCATAAGCCACATTAAGCCATATTTAAAAAAAATTCTTACATATGATCCTTGTTATTATCAGAAAATGATTCTAGTGCTCACTACAACAAAAAACATCTTTGGCGACTAAAATTGGCGACTAAAACAAATTTAGTCGCCAAAAGTTTTGGAATTGGCGACTAAAACTTTTTTTTGGTCGCCAAAAGTATAAAATTTAGCTACTAAATTTTTTGTAGTCGGGATATATTAATTATTGGCGACTAAAAAATAATTTATTCGCTAAAAATACTAGAATTGGCGACAAAAAAAATTTTAGTCGCCGTATATTGAGTTTTGGCTACTAAATATTTAGTCGCCGAATGTAAAATTAAAATTTTATTTTTTATCTTTTGGCGACCAAAAGTTTAGTCGCCAAAACATATTTTCAGCCACCAAAAATCAGTTTAGTCGCTGTATATTAGTTATTGGCTACTAAAATATTTAGTCACCAAATGTAAAATTAAAAAAAAAAAAAAAAAAAAACTATCTTTGGCGACCAAAAGTTTAGTCGCCAAAACATATTTTTGGCCACCAAAAAGTAGTTTAGTCGCCAAAAAATAAAATAAAAAAATTGGAGGGAGACATTTATAATTTAAATTTGAGGAATTTATAAAAGTAATTGGCGACTAAAGTTTTTAGTCGCTAATGGTGTAACATATATATAATTGGCAACCACTGGTATTTTAGTCGTCAATTGTATAACATGATATATATATATATATATATTTTACCAAACCAAACCCTAAAATAATCTGCGCCTCTCTTTCTCTCTCTCTCTCTATTTTCGGCGTCCCTCTCCCTCTCCCTTCTCGTCTCCGCTACTCCTCTCCCCTCCCTCTCTCACTGCCGCTCTTCTTCGCCTTCGACGGAAACCGGAGCACCTCATCCTCCTCCGCCATCGCCATTGCCATCGTCATCGTGAGTACTACCGATCTTTTCACGCCACCGCCTCCTCCTCCTCCGCCGATCTTCACAGATCCACCGCCGCGAGATCCAGAGGCTTTATCACTAAGATGAACTCTACTCCATTAATGCTCTGTCTCGCGTATGCTTTCTCTCTCTCTCTCTCTCTCTCTCTCTCTCTCTCTCAAAATATTCAGAGGTTTCTTGTGGGGATCTTAAAGATCTGATTGGTCCTTTTGATTCTCCACCTAAGGGAGATTGAAAATGGGGATTGTGTTTACTCGATTGTTCTCTTCGCTTTTTGGTAACAAACTCGTTCTTGGTCCTGACAATGCTGGGAAAACCACAATTCTCTGTATGATTCTTTGATTCTGCCCTTACCCTTTTCCGATCTTGCATTTCTGTCAACTGGGTTCTCCCCAATTTTGATAATTAAGTAACTTAATTTCATTTTTTTGTGCAGATCGGCTTCAGATGAGTGAAATTGTCTCCACAATTCCAAGTTGGTACTCTTTCTTGGTTTCTTTTTTGTTTGCATAATCTTTCTTTGTTTGCCAAGAAGATCAGGGGATTGGAGACCATCGGATTCATGATTTACAAATTGATAAAATTTTTAATTTAAAAATTACAGTGCTGATTTACTGCATTTTTTTTTTTCAGAAGTGGAAAGTTTGATACTTCACTCTAAAGTGTCATATTTTCTTATTTTGGAACTTGTGGATTAATTTCTGTGTGTATATATTTGATGCAGCAATTGGGTTTAATGTGGAAACAATTCAATTTCTGTGTGCATATGTTATGCTCTGGGCGTTGCCATTGTTTGTTGGAGGATAGTTGTTTTGTAGATGCCTTAAGGAACTATAACCCTTAATGGAAAACACATGAGTCACTATGTTTCTGGGTGCACAATGGTTGAAATTTTTTCTACAATCTAGTAATCCTTGCTTCATTGAAACTTTGTTACACATTAAACTTGGACAACTTTAACTTGTCCAAAAAAAAAAAAAACATGGACAACTTTTGGTGTCCACTCGGTCTCCACTAAAAATTATCAAAATGGCCCAATGGTCTTGATTGGCAGATTTTTGGATCCATTTCTTTGCATTTTCTATTGTCTGCCTCCAAAGAAATTGTAGTTGTTGTTCTTTGCTTTTCAATAGGTTATATTGTAGCATGTTTGGATCAAATGAAGAAGATGTATTGCTTTTAGAAGAACCTACAGAGAATGTTCATGTAAACATAATACACACCAAGGATTTAGATTGAAAAGAAGTCAGCTAAATGAGTCTTTTTTGACCATCCCGATCTGAATTGCACAAGTTGAAGGCTCTATGCAGACAACCATAGTTTATATGCTACTTATGCTATCATTCTTTTCTAATCATTGTGCAGGTATGTGGATGTGATCCTTCAGTTGATTGATAAAGCAGGCGATTTTGTCAGTGATGACATTTGTTTTCGTGTTGTGCAATTTGTTACGAACAATGAAGACCTATAGGTGACTAAAACTTTTCTTACATATGACAAATAATGAAGCAATTTGTTACGAACAATGAAGACCTACAGGTGACTAAAACTTTTCTTACATATGCTTCATTATTTGTCTTGTCTTTTTATGAAATTCATTCATTCACTATTTGCCTTACACTTTTTATATTTCATTAGCTTTATGAAGCAGTAAAAGCCAGGGAGTATCTTGATAAGCCTGCTGTACACGAGACAATGGTCAAGGTGTGTATATGTCATTTTTTTTATGATTCATGCCCATGATTCATTTACATTTTCTCATAAAATGTGAAAAAGAATATGTTTTAGGTGTTAGTAACTCAAACATTAGAGCTAATGTTTAGTTTGACCCTTTGGTGCTGATACAACCCCACATTGCTGTGGTACACACTTTTAGTTTAGTAGTAAATGCATTTTATTGATATTGCATGTTGTTGACATGAAGAATAAGGACTTTGTTGGACTTGGAATCTGTGGCTTTTTGTATTAGGCTTATACAAAGTCAAGTATTTTTGTTTTTTACAAAATGGGCATATTTTGGATTTTGCCAGCTCTGAACTACCTTCTTATATTTAATATTATGTCCTCTCTTTGATAGATTAAGGACTCGTTTGGAAACAAGCTAATTTAGTAACTTTTTGGCTATTTGGTTAAAATATGAGTTAAAAAAAACTAGTATGTTTGGGATGACTTTTTGACTTTTTACGAAAAGATGTGCAAAAAGTATAGAGAAAAGAGAATCTTTGACTTTTTTGTATGAGTTGTTGGCTTTTTGATTTTTTTAGTGACTTTTTGATTTTTTGGCTAAAAAAACCACTTGCCAAATGAGGCCTAATTACCAAGTTCCTAACCATTTCATAATTTTTTATTTAATTAATCAAGTTATTTATTTATTTATTTATTTTGGATAAGTAAAAACCATTTCATAATTTAATTACGCATCGCAAGATTAATTATCAAGGAACTTTTTTTGGATCAAATCAATTGCAAGGCACAATTGTATTTGGGCATTGGGTTTTTTAGGAGCAGGTCAGTGCTTATATCCTTGGAGAATACAGTCACCTTCTGGCCAGACGGCCTGGGTGTAGTCCAAAGGAGATTTTTAGCATCATACATGAGAAGTTTCCTACTGTTTCGGAAGGGCGCTTGAACTTTTGCTTTCTTGGTAATATTTGTTGTTCATCATTTAAGTAACTTAATGGACATTATGCATCATCAGGACTTCTACGATTTCCATTCTTCTTTCAACATATGCTAAGATTTTAATGCACAATCAACCCCCAGACCCAGAATTACATAATCAAATTTGGGAAATTTTTCACAAGTGAGTTTTAACCCATTCTGGATTGTAATTTTTTCCTTTCATTTATTTAGAGCTTGTGGTTCATGCTCTCTCACAAAATGCCTTGAAATTCTTTTACACTGTCTTGCCCTTCTTTCTTTCCAGATATGAGAGTTGTATTGATGTTGAGATACAGCAAAGAGCTGTTGAATATTTTGCATTGAGTAGGAAAGGTGCAGATTTAGTGGATATATTGGCTGAAATGCCTAAATTCCCCGAGCGCCAGGTATGTGATCTACAACATTTGAGTACAATCGGATTCAACCCAATTTCTTTTAAGAATTGTTAGCCCAGTTTCTTTTAATATATATCTATATATGTGCACATATGTATATACATGTATGATACTGTTTATGACACTGATAATAGTATTTTCTTTTGTATTTAGTCTGCATTGATTAGAAAAGCTGAAGATACTAAAGCTGATACTGCGGAGCAAAGTGCTACTAAGTTGCGGTCACTGCATCAAACTTCTAATGCATTGGTAGTGACTGACCAACGCCCTGCCAATGGAATGCCACCTGTGAACCAGCTTGGTCTGGTGAAAGTGCCCGACATGAGCAATGTGGTGAGACATGTTTGAGCAGGATTTTATGAACCATAGAGTTGACAATTTGAGATTCTATTAATTTTTGCTTCACTTAGAAACTGATCAGGGGTTGACTATTTGGA